ATTTCCATTTTGCCAATCAACATACAGTGTAGTGACTCAACTGGTATCATAAAAATGGCCAAAATTATGGCATGTAAGATGAACAATCATACATGTTTTCTAAAATAAATAAATGGTATTTCTGTTCGCTAGTTTATCATTTTAGGTTACTAAATCGGCCATGTTAAAAGTAAAAAAATAAAATATGGTAATGAATTCTGTTTATTTTTTATGTGTTTAAAACATTTTGCTATTTGAAAACAGCAGATAACAATATCAGGTGAACGTTCTGATCATGAATTTGAATGGACTTTTCTTTAACTTTAATGCAAGATATACTAGTACATGGATACTAAATTCTATTATTTATATGCTTTAATCTTAGTATTAAAGTGCATCATTGTGTTCTTCATTCTTTTAAAATATTTTTGTGCAGGTGTGCATATATTATGCATATAATCCTAAACAATTTCATAAAATTATTCACAAACTTCTCAATGGTCAGTGTTAATCAGGGCCTATGCCAGTCAGTAGGATTAAAAGAGATGGATAAAGCTATGTATGTTTCTCCTCATAGAATTATTAGGAGTATTAACACCCCTTCAGGAAAGAACATTGGAGGAAAGAGTTAATCCTTCTCTAGGATTGATTTCATTTATTTAGTACTATTGATTAGTTGATAACCTCTAATTTCTGTTACAATAAAACAATGTTTCATTATTCAGTTCGGTTAGCTCCTTGTTTATTTGGACAGATTATATCCTGAATGAATAAACTATGAGGAAACAAATGTGTTGGCAGGCAATGTAGGATACACTGAGATTTCACTACTTACTATTTAGTATTTTACTTCCTTTTCTTTCTCTCTCAAATGATTCTACCTGCTGTCTTCAAGCCCATTTTGAAATGTTATAGTAGAAACATTAAAAAATAATAAGCAGCTGAGACACCTGTTGCATTATTGAATCTCCTTCACAACTTGGCATAATTGCAGTGGGTCATGCGGAGAACGTGGAAGAGACAAGTTTAAGGAGAAACAACTAACCAAAATTCAAAGTATATCCTGGAAACAATCTTAGTCCAGCAAAAACATTGTATTGCACTGATAAGGGAATGGAGGAAGCTGAGTAGGTCCACCAGAATCAGAACTTGTAGTTCTTGTGGAACTCCTTTAGTTTGGGGGAAAAAAACTGCTGGTCAGATTCCTCCTATTTTTAAAAATCTCATTTGATCTTTCTTTTTTAAAAGAAAAATCATGTAATCCTCCCTCTAGTAGACTCAGATATGGGGTTGTGTGGGAAACACTGCTGTAATAATTCAGATTAATACTTCTGTTAATCTGAAATATGTCCATATTGATAGATTCATTGATGACAGTAATTATAAAGATAGCCTTCATCTTATGTGATTGAGATGATAAGGAACCTTTCATGCTATTATTTATAATAATTCTTATTGGAAAAGTTGGAGCTAGAAAGATAGGACAAATGAGCAGTATTTTGGTGACCATTAGCTAGCTAAGGGCTACAAAATACATAGGCCTAGTTTACTTTTAAATTATAGTTCCACTCTTTCAAGACATATAACCACCTAGAGTGTTAGGCATCCAGAAATTGTCCATGGTAATCAATCACTCCGAGACAAGTATAATCTCCAACTGATTTATTAGGAACAGCTCTGGTAATTCTATGGCATTTCCAAAAGTGAAAGTCATTTTCAGCACAGTAACACAAAATCCACCTTCTCTCCCCCCACTTCTACACTTCATTAATCACAAGAACCAATTAACTGCAGCTGGAATTTTTTAATGCAACATACGGAATAACCTTGAACTCTACCCCCCCTTCCATTCCTTCTTGGCAGCTGAATCTCAGAGCTGACATAGAGTCTTTTTGATACAAGATAGGTCGTAAATAAATTCAATCAATTAAAAATATACAGTAGTTATCTATTCTCCAACACTAGATGGCTATAAACTATAGTCAAGAAGGGCTATAAGTTGCCCATCACTGTTATAAACCCCATACTAGCTAATTGTAGGAATAATTCATTCCTTCTTCTTTGTCTAATTCCCCAATCTTCAAATATGATGGGATTATAACTCCTAGAATTCTAAACCAGCAATGACCAATAGTATTATCTGGAGGCCATGATGTTCCATGAGTACTAGAATGACTCTGATTTAGAAGGCTGAGTGTGGAAACAATAACGAGAAGAGGAGGAAGAAAAAATGGACTAATAACTCCTCTTGCCTCAATTGTTCTACTCATGAGATGAAAACATGCATGATTTCATCAAAATTATATATTTCTTCTGAATTACCATGTAAAAAAAATCAATTTTCCTATTATTTTATTCCAGCTCAGCAATATTCCCCATCTGAAGCTTATAGGAGAAGACCAAATCCTTCCACCTTCTTTGCTGCAGCAAAACTTTCTGCTATGCTCAATGGAAATGATGAAGTATATGCAAACCGCATGGTAGTAGATGAGGTAAGACTGACAGATGTATATTGAGATTAGTTATGTGTGGCTATTGAAAGTATGTGATTATATCAAGTTATGAATTGCACAATTAGTATTTGTTTATTTTATTTTAAGGGGAAGCAATAAGAGAAATGTTTATCATTTATAACCTAAGTGTGTTAACACACACACACACACACACACACACACAAATGTGTTGGCCAAAAATTACCTGCTAATATTTAGAGGAGCTTTTCATAATTCTACAACAGTTTGTGGACTCTGCTTTTTTTCAAACTTGTATAGTATTGATGCTTTAAAAAAAGTTTCTGGACTAAAATGCTCTCTTTTTTAAAAGATGAAGAGTAAAATGTAAAACTTTTGTTTAAACAGGATACCAAGAACCTTGCACTTAATTCTTCTGAAATGTCTCTTAATCTGTACTAAGCCATGCCATTTAATTTTGGGACTGATTGATGTCAAAGTTTATGAATTCTAAATTAAAGAAAAATCTTTTAAAAGTAAAAAAAACACGAAAGACCTGTAAGCAATGGTTTCGGTTTGCAAATCTCAGCCTCCTTCCTTTACTCCCCTTAACTACTGAGTGAATTGTACAAAAATGTTTTCTGGGTCTCTATTTCATCCCTATTTCATACGTGCTACCCATCTCTTTCCTGCACAATGTATCCCTTTCGCTATTATTTTTGTCTGTTTCATGTACCCATCAAAATATCTGTTTTATGCTCTTCTCTCTTACCTTTTTTATGTGTATCTCATGCACGTATGCCCCCCCCCCCGGTCAGATTTGTACCTTCAGATGTTGCTGGATTACAATTCTTAGTAATTTTACTGGGAAAGCCAGTGATGAGGCTGAAATTGTTGTTCAGCATCCTCCAGAAGATGGCACTTCTTCTTCCCTATCATAGACTAATAGGAATCCTTGCCCATGGAGTTTAGTGTTATCTTACAATTAGTGTGGGAGACTACACTAAACAATTGTAAATGTTAAATAAACAGTATACATTTTATTTAAAATGTTTAGGTGTCAGCCTTGGAAGCCATTTTTTACTTGGAAGCTTCGATTCTGCCACATTCAGTGCCTGGGAATTTGGGAGGGAGGATTTCATAGTGAGGTAGAAGATTAGACACAACTTTCTTTCTCAGAGAGTCAAGGACATGTTGCCCTGCACCTGGAGGGGAGTGACCGGAAGGATGTCTCCAGTTGGGATGAAGATTTGATTAAGCCATGTGATGGACTGATGGATGCAGGAAATAGATTTTTGATTTTCTTTTGGGAAGGGAAAATCCAGAACTCTCAGATTCGGGTTTTCTTAGATTTACCAATATGACAACTCTAATAAAATGGAATTTTGAGGAAATGTTTGTCTCAGAGTTTATTGGTTTGGAGTTAGTTAGTTGGGACGCTGACATTAGGTTTGGTGTAACAATAGTAATATAAAAATTTAATTTTACTTACCTATCTGCTATCTGGTGTTTGCTTTCTGAGGAATTGCTATGCTTCCTTCTTGCAGAATTTTTATTTCATTTTGATACCTGATAATATTATAGATATTGAATGAATTCTTGGAGCATAACACTAAGAGTATATTCTGCCATCACTGGGTTCCTGATCCCACTGAACTTTTTCTGTTGGGATATTAATGACACGACGGTTCTAACAGCTGAATTTAGTTTTACATCATTTTGCATTATTTTGTATTTAACATTAATAATTTTATTTCCATACTTTAGTTGGAAGATGCTGGTGTCAAGTACATTAATAACAGCCCGAGTACTTTGGAAACTAACACAGATTCAAGTAAAGATCCAAAAGTGTTGAAAAATATTCCAAGCAACAAAAATCTATCATCAGTTATGATACCCAGCTTGGATACCTCAGGTTCTTACATGCCATTAAAAAAGACACATGCCTTTGGGAATCTACGGAATCATCGTTATCCCTTTATTAAAAAACGAAGGTGTGTGATAGCTTTTGATTGCATTGTTATAAAAACAGTAACTCTTTACATATGTATGTTTGTCCTATAAAATAAATATGGGTTGCATGGGTTTCGAAAGGAATGTTTTGGATAAGGTTCCAAAACTTTTCATGCGTCTGTTCTGCAAAAGTGCATCATGCTGGTTTTAATATTTTTTATCTGCTTTCTGAAAACATAACTAAGCAAAAGTAATCAAGAATGACTTTTACAGAATATTCTCCCTTCATTCCCCTCTTCCCTACTCAGAGAAGCATATTTAAAATTTCCCATCGCTGTTTTTCTGTTTCTGAATTCATGCTGCCACAGTAAATGTGAGGTTCGTGGTGTGTTTGCTGAGGTATTGTTGATTTTTTTACCAAAAAGGTTATATTTTAACATTCAGGGAAATGTTGTCCTTTTCTTAATGCATGCTTCTAATTTCTTGGATTTTTTTTCCAGGTATTTTAACTATGGTTAAGGTTGGGTAGAGTGGATGAAAGGACAATACATTTTACTTATTGTATATAACTACTGTAAGCTACTCTAGTAAATTATTGTATGTTTGTGTTCCTTTGCTCCCAGTTCCAGTCTTGATGACTTGGATGTTGACAGTGGAGATGAAAGATCCCATAACTGCTATTCTTCAGTGTCTTACAACTCTTCTGCGATCTTGCCGAGTGATAGGGAGCAGTTAAGTGCTTCAGAGCCCACCACTAGATTGGACGACAGCATTAACACAGCTGAATCTCTCCCTTTGTCCAGCAGTTTACAGTCCAAGGTATCGTTGTTTTCATTTTCCCATAAAATTAATAACGCTTATTTAATTGATGGGAGAACTTATTTATACTTATATTTCCCCCCAAATGCCATAGTATTATTATTTTTAAAATATTTGGAATTTATCAATAAATTTTAGTAAAAGGAATTTTTCATAAGAAACATCATCATCTAGTTTTGCAATTAAAACATTTGTAAAAACTAAGAGAAAAATTTCAAAATATGCTGTTTGTTTTATATGTTTAGGAATCTCTACTTTCGGGAATTCGTTTGCGTTCATATTCTTATACTTCACCCAAAGTCTTATTAGGGAAACCACCGTGTGCTCAGGAATTTATTCAATGTGATTCAAATGATGGTGAGCACTAATATTTTAATGTTCTTATATTTTTAGAGCAAATTAGCATGGTTAATTCAGCCCCAAGTTAACTTTAGAGTAGGGTATTAAGTATACTTTTCATATAAGATGAAATGATTTTTCTAAGTTGCAAGATTCAAATTACTCACACATATCCCACCTTTTTCTAAATCAGATTTATATCTAACTAATGATGTGAGAAGATAGGCAGGATGAACAGATGTATTAAATTTTCTCCCTATAATGTGCATCTTTCATTTTTGTACAGTTTAGTTATACAGCATCTTACTGAGGTTTTGAAAAAGGAAGAATATTTGCTTATTAAATTTATATGATTGGTTTGTTCAGGAGCAAAGGCAGCATAAATGGTCCCAATTTTCCCCACAATAATAATTTTCTGAGGTAGATTAGCCAGGGAACAGAAAACTAATTTCTGTGGCCAAAGATGGATATTGATATTATGATTGGTCACAAAGTCATCCAGGATTTGGCATTTTTGCCCACCTATTGAGTCCTTGAGAAAATGAGATAGGCAGATGTTGTTTAATAATATTAAAGGTGTTTTTGCAGGATGTAAGCCGTCTTCTGCAATTTATTATTATAATAAACAACATGTAAAATTACAGCTGCCAGTTCTTGGACATTGTGATGTATCAGTGTAGTATATATATGTGTGCATTCAAACTGTGTGCTCTTTTGTAATTGAAAGATAGAAATTCTGTCAATAAACATATTTTCTAAATCTGTCCAAGTTTTTTGGTATGGTACCTAATGTGTCAGTAACCAGTGGGAACACATAAATAGTGAGTTTATGCCATAATCTTTCAGCTTTTATTATTATTATTACTACTACTTCAGGGATGTTAGTATACAATAGTCATTTTTAAATGGAATGAATACAAATGAATTTTTAAATGGAAATCTTATGCTGTCATTTTAAATGGAATGAATGCAAATGAATTTTTAAATGGAAATCTTATGCTGTCAACAATGACTGACTGCTAAAATATAATTATTTTAAACATTATTTTTTTTATAGAATCACACACATTCAGCTTGCATGAACAGTCAGAAAAAAGGTATGTTTTAAGTGTGTGTGTATATGTGTATGTGTATATATATGTATATATGTGTATATATATGTATGTATGTATGTATGTATGTTATTAAAAATAATTGCAAAGTAGAGGCTGTTTACTTGAGCAATGTAAGAATTTCAGCATCAATCAGATATGCTACTTGAAATTAACTTGCAATAATAGCTGGATAAAGTGCAGAAATGCATGTATACTGAAATTTTTCCACATTTAAGTAAGATAAAAGAATGCAGATTTTTTTTTTTTGTATTTTATGAATTCTACAATGTCACGTATTTTATTATACATTTTTACTTTGTAAGATGTTAAGATATTTCCTGGTATATTTTTAGGATTCAAGAAGAAGAATGGGATAAGTACATAATACCAACAAAATCAGAATCTGAAAAATATAAAGTTAGCCGAACATTCAGTTTTCTAATGAATAGAATGGCCAGTACACGAAATAAGTCTAAGGTAATTTGTGATCAATGCATTATGGGAGAGAAAAAAACACCCCACCAAAACAAAACAAAAAAATCTTAAATATTATGAGTACTGAATTGTGCTTGTAATTAAAAAATGAGCACTAAAATACAATTCTTATGAATATTTTATAACTTGACAATGAGAAATATTTTTTTGGACATACTGAATGGAAAACATTTTTCAGTTGCAAGTGTTTTTTTTTTAAAAAAAGCATAGGAGAATAATTGCCCTACAGTGAAATGATGATATCCTCTATTTAATGTAGGATTTATCATTCCATTGTCAGAAATTCTATGCTAAATAAATAAAGGGAAAAGGGACAGAATTCAATAAAAGGAGAAAAATCAGAGGGTTTCTTTTGGATTTGTGCTAAATATTTCCCTTCTGATTTTGGGACCGTTTGGGAACATTTTTAAACATTGGTTCATGTCAATATTTTTCCAATCTGCTACTCTTTTAGTTCCATTCTGACTTTTACAAACTCTTATTTTGGAAAAAGTGTCATAAATAGTCCTGTGTAATCATGCAGATATGAAGATATTCAGAATTATCTTAAGATGATCCCTACATCCCTGAATGATGTAGCTTTCAGAAAGTGTCATCATTGTCAGTGATTATTTACTAGTTCCACTTTTGTTACAATAGCCAGCATGTCCAAAAGTAAGGATTATTTATTTTATTTTAGGCTTTCAAGCCTAAGTCAGGGACTACAATTCAGAATCTCCTTGTTCCAAATCTGGTGCTTTTAGACCAAATGTTATTTGAATGAGGTTATTTTACTATGGTTTATATAAATATGTAAGAATATGATTTCTATGCAATATTGTTCTGCAAAATGGAGAGGAATGAAAAGATTATTCATTGCTTCTTTTGAGTGGGGTAGTTGACTGCCTCTGGAGATACTGATGCTGTATCGCTCTGTGAACTAAATTTATATTTATTTGTATTTTTCATTTTGGTTATTAAGGCAAAAAACAAAGATGCCAAAGAAAAAGAGAAAGCTAACAGGCATCACTTTGGTTCTGGATCGTATGCTGGAGTAATGCCGTGTTTCACATGTGAGAAACCACTGTTGGGGAAAGAATCATTGCAGTGTTCTTGTAAGTAACTATAGTTTGTGTTCATAGAAGTTGCTTTCCCCAACTCTGTTGTAGAAAGTTGCTTGTATTTGTAGATTGGTTCCAAACTTAGTCATGTGTAGAACAGATCATAGACCCAGAACCACAACTTACTTAAGTTCCTTAGCTAACTTACAAGTTCCTTAAGTCCCTTAACTTAAGTAAGATTTTTGTGGGATTACTCGAAACATGACTAAATATAGATTCAATCCTATTTCTTGATTTGAGAATAATTTGCTTAGTTCAAGACACAGTGCTTGTATCATAGGTACTAAATTTCAGGATTCATCCATAGGCACATTGGAGACTTTATTATCTTTATATTGACTAGCAGCAGTTTGTCATGCCTTTAGGAAGAACATTTCTAGTTCTGAGCTGTTGTAGCCTGAATTTGGAACTCTTCCCACAAACCCATAAGATTATTATCCCACAAGCTATAGTGATCTCTTAATTAGGTGTGACCAACACAATAAAGCCATATTAACAACTTAGCATATTAAATATCTAATGTTAACTCTGCCTAGAACAGCTGCTGGGTTTACATAGTTTTGAATTAGATGTTCCCTTAAATCAATTTCATCTTTATATATTTCCAAAATAAACTTAAGAGTTGTAAATATTTTCTTTTAGCTATTCCACAGAATGAAGCCAAGGAGATCTTTTTAGAAATTTTAAGGTGAAGAGTCTAAAAAAAATCAGTTCTACCCCCAACCCTCCTCTTGGACTAAACCTGCATTTATTTTTCTTCCTCTTGATTAGTTCCAATAGATGAAATGAGCCTAGAAATTGAAAGAAAAATAGCTTGAGGAGATATATAAGGGAGCTATATGATCAGGATTTAGTATAGTTCATTCATGCTTCTCTGCCTTCTCAAACATCGATCTCTCAGTTTAAACATGGTTGGGACTGATGTAAATGTAAACAGACAGACCTGTTTCCAAATCATGGCATATCTGAGGGATCACCTTTCTCCAATTGTTTCTTCCCACCTGGTATATTTGGGCAGAGTGAATACATTCCATTTCCCCTTTATCAAATGCTGTGGGACTGAGGAAAGCATGTCTTCTCTGTCATAGCCCCTGCCTGAGATAGGGTCTATGACAACTCACCATGGTTAATTTGCCACAGCCAACTTGCCAGGCCAACTTGCTGAAGAACAACTCGCCATGGTCATCTTGCCACAGGACAACTCGCTGCAGGACAAGAATTACACTAATATCAAAGAAATGGTGGAATAGAATCATTAAAGAAATGATGCAAAAGGAGGAACAGAATAAAATGTGAATGGCAAAAATTAAAATATTTTTATTTATTTTAAATAATTAAATAGAATTGTTACATTGTCCCACAGCGAGTTGTCTGTGATAAGTTGGTTGCAATGAGTTGACCATGGGGAGTTGGCCATGGGGAGTTGGCTGCAGCAAGTTGGCTGTGGCAAATTGTTCCATTCCCACCTGATATATGGCTTGTGGCATCTTGCCAGGGGTTTTGGAAAGCCCTTAAGACTTGGCTTTGGTCTTTGGTTGGGATTAATTTATTTGCATGGTCCTTATCAGGCTTGTACTGGGTTGTTTTAGTCTGAGCTGTCAGAATTTATTTTCAACAGTTTTTTTTTTTAAATTTTGTAAGCTGCCCAGTCTGTTGAGCTGGGCAGCTATAACAAATTAAAATCAATCAGTAAATTTCATGCAGTTTGATTCTCAGGGTAATTCTAGAGAATAATTGTTTCTCATAATATAAACGTAGAAGGGGTTGTTTTCTTGGTGGCAACCTCCTGTTCTGTATGATGTGTGGTTTTGGCCTAAGATCCAAGACATACTGTACTTCTTTATCCTTTTGGTGAAAATTAGTTGGGACTTTGCCGATTTATATAACTTTTCCAACCCTTTTGAAGGAACCAGTCATCACAGCTGGAAAACATTAAGACAAGAATTATTTCTAAATGAAAGTTGAACACTCTAAAATTGAGATTGCAATTGAGAGGACCTTTTCTTGCTTCCTTGCAGATTGCAATGCAGTTGTGCATAAAAGTTGTAAGGACTGTGCTCCTGCATGTACAAAAGTAAGTTTTAAAACAAATACTTGGGGATGTCATTGCTCATTGTTACACTGTTCTGCTTCTATTTTGTTGTTTTTGAGTGTAACAAATCAAGAAATTTATATTATATTGGGTGTGCAGGTAGTCCTCCCTTACAATGGCAATTGGGACTAAAACTCCATCTCTAAGGCAGCAATGCCACTATGCTAACTTATGGCAGAAGTTCTGGCAGTGCCAGCTACTGTCATTAGGCAAATCATGGATGGTCACAGTACTCCACAATTATGTGAACACCATTTGTGACTTCCTGCTGATTTTCTCATTGACTTTGCTTCTCAGAAGCCAGCAGTGAAGGTCACAAATGGCAACCACACGATTGTGCAATGTTGCAAGGTTTGCTGATTGCCAAGTGCCCAGATTGCAGCCACATGATTATGGGTACACAACAATTGCTGCAACCATGAGGACTAGTTAGTTCCACTTGTTCAGCACTGAATAATTGTTGAACTTCGAACAGTCGCTGAATGAGTGGATGTTAAGCAAGGACTACCTGTAAGTTTTATGCTAGAGTAATAATTTCAGGTAAGCATTTCAAGTGAGTAACTATTGTTGACCTATAGAAAAAAACCCAGGGCATTAGTTGTGGTAATAAAATCATTACAAATAAATACAGTGAGAGTCACTAATATTTATATTTTCCTAAACTCTCTTGCTTAATAGGTTTCTTGCTTTGTTTCTACACTGAAGGTCATTTTGTTTCAGTCTTTTTGTTTAGGCTTCCTCATTACAATGACTTGTCCTTTTTTATATTTGCTTACTATGATTTGCTAGTTATGTCACTAGTATGTACACCACTTATTAGTTGTCACTACCTTTTGTCATGTGGAACCAACTAAAAAAATTAGACCTGTGGTTTTTCTGCATGAAGTGGAAAATTATTCCAAATTCTTTTTATCCTGAATTTTGATTTTCTCTGGAAGAAATAAACATGGGATTTTGATTCCTATGTTGTGATAAATAGTCACAGGAATTTTTCCACAATTTTGCCTTGTCCATGACTCAGACTTGGCCAATCTTTCTTTGTCTCTCTTCATATCCCAATTAATTCTTGAGAAAGGGTATGTATTTGGGTGGATGATTTGACTTCCTTTGGGGATTTGGAATTGGTTTCTCAGGTGACTGTACATTAGACTTGTGAAGTAGCTGCTTCAAAATCATTGCAAGAGCATAATAAACTGAAAATTTAAATTGTAATGAAACAAAGGTAAGAATAGCATCATCTTCCTGTTTTGTTAAATACAGAGGCTGTTTATATTATCAGATAGAACAAAGAGGAATGGTGCCCCTTAGTGTACACAGTCAGAATGACATAAGTTCAATGAATAGCATCATATTATTGACTTTTCCCAACAGTATTAGTTATTTTAAAAATGCCTGTCAAAAATTCTAAAATACATAATGATTTATAATTATTATTATGCCTGGTACATTAGCAAAATTCTAGCAATTTGCAACTTTACTATTAGGGTTATGTAAAAAATGGAGCATCATAGATCAATATAAAATCTTTCAATAAAATATGATCACATATGCATAGAAATGTTAAATTACCTCTTATTTATTTAACCAATTAAATAAACTTTATATTTAATATATTTAATAAAATTCATATTAATGAAAACATCCTTCTTTACCAGAAATTACAAGATAGAAGTTATGTTAAGAACAAGATACAAACTGTCCAGACAAGTAAGTTAAAGAGTAAGAAAGTTAAAAAGTATAAATTGTTTTTCTTCTGTTATTTTTCATATTTTGTTATTAGTGGCTGTCTTTGGGAGAATGGACAGCTTTTGTTGATTTTTCCCTTCGTGCCTTTCCTAGCTTTCTAACAAAGGCGTCCTTGAATATCAGATTCCTTTGTTTTAGGGGAGGAGATAGTTTGGAGAGCTGCAAACAAACATTGGCAAATATTTGCTCTATATTTCTATGTTCTTTATGGGTCTCCACTCTTTCCATGAGAGTATGTAGTACACTTCTCAGAATGAACCCATTCACTAATCCAATATATTTAACTTGCTTCACTATCAACTCCAAGATTTTCTTTCATACAATAGTTTCACCATAACTTCTGACAGCATACATTCAATAGTTAAATTAAACAAACATTAAAAGCAGAAATACCCAATCTATGACTATTTTTATTGGGCCACATATAACCTTCCAGCTATTTGATGTGATCCTTGTAATTGGGGTGGGCTTCAAAATTTTTAGCAACGGGTTCTCTGCCTGGTTGGCGGGTGGCTGGGTGGGCGTGGCCATGATGGGCATGGCCTAGTTGGGCTCCTGCACCACGGGGGTGGGGGGCTTTTTGCTTTCCCTGAGTTCTAGAGGCTTTCCTTGAGACTCTGGGAGCCTTCCCAGGCTCCGGAGGCTCTCTGGAAGCTGGAAACGGGCTTGTTTCCAGCCTTTCTGAACTTCCGGGAGACCCATTTTTCTCCCTCCCCAAGCATTCGCATGCACACTGCACTTACCTGCATCCAAAACAGGCTGCATGGGTTCTCCTGGGAGGGTGGGAGGGTGGAGATGAGGAGGATTTGGGAGTTTTCCAAACTGTGCAGAATCTTAGCTAGAGGTTCTCCTGAACCCTTGCAAACCTCCAGCAGCCCACCCTTGCTTGTAATCTACTCAAAAGTTCTTGTTATTTTTAATGTGGCAGAAAGATGAAATTATTAAATATACCTAAAATAACCACATTAAGACTTTTAATGGTATTTAAATTTAACTTATTTTAAAACAGATTTAGTTTTGGCCCTGACTTCTTCCATTTTTGAAAGTGAGGTTTGTAATATGCAATTCAGGTAGCCCTCAGCTCATTATGTACCCTAGTTCTAAATTAGGACTTGGAAAATTGCACTTCCTGTCATGCCACTGACACTGAGAGAGAGGAGGAACAGCCAACAGGGAATGGAAGGTTGGCTGCAGAGGTTGTGGAGGAGGCCGGGGAAGGGCAGAGGCTGGCTGAGCAAGCAGATGAGGATCCAGGCCCATCCCCTATCCATCCTAGGACACGCAGGGAGGAGAGGATAAGGGAAAGACGTGGTCTACTCAGGAGGAGAGGGCCTTGATCCTTTTCATGGGATGCAGGTGCGAGAACTGCATAAGAGTTTGGACCTGTGTGTTAGCAAACACTAGAAACAAAGAGTGTTTTATTCCTGGATGAGGTTTATCTTAGTTGGCGTTCTTCCAACGGACTATACCTGGTTCTCTTCTTGAAGTTTGTAATTAATTATCCTGGTCTGTCATGGAACGTTCCTCAGTGTGGTTTGTTTTTTGTTTTTTATTGCTTCGTTATCTGCTCTTTGAGTTGTGTTATGATATGTACAGAATAACCCTTGAGTAACAAGGATATGCACATGGAAACGTTTATGAGAGTAGTTATGAATAATTATTCAGCCACATACAGATACACTAAATTGGGTTAAAGTTTACTTTAAGAAATAGCACAGTCCAATCCACGGTCCAGGTCATATACATTTAACAGTCCAAAGAATATCCAATTACAAAGTCTTCTTACCGGTTGCCTTTTTCATTTACAGTAAACAAAGATATCAAAGTATAGGCACAACAGCAACAGAATGTCAGAGAAACAGAATGTCAGAGATACAGAATGCCAGAGAGAGAGCAAGCCACGATCTCTAGCTCCCTCTTATGGCAACTTGCAACACAATCAACCAATCAGTGATTTTATCTTAAAGCTACAAACATTCATTGTTGGTTTATATATTGCCAACCCAACTAATTTTACAGATTCCTAACAAGTTGGACTGTATTTCTTTCATTTGGAATGTTATTTTGGAAAGAGTTTAATCTCCAACTGTGAACAATTGAACAGTGAAGCCAAGTTGAAGGCATTAAAGAACATTTATTTACGTTTTGGTTTTTGTTACATTTGTGGGACACTCCGGGTCATCACACTTCCCCATCAATTTTGATTGAACCAGATTATAATCAAACATTAAATTTTTAAATACTGTTTACTCTTTTTGAACAATTATTAATATGTGAACTCTTCAGATAATCTGACATTTGTAGAAGTTGTATTAAAGTGAGTTTAAAAATGTGAAATTGAATGCAGAAATTAGAGACTATGAAATATGTCTTAGTAATCACAGATGGAGGTAGGAACAAATTGAAGTATGTTAAAATAACATTTCCAAATTACATTTCATTTTGATAAATAATTATCCATGCTCTGTGTTAAAAGACTTTTCAAAGCTATATTTCAATTTGATATATGTCTACTTATATATAAATCTTATTAAATTCAGTGGGACAGTTATTAGTATATTAGATTTAGAATGTGGTTGCAAAGGCAGTTTGTGATATGTTACTGCCTTTGCAGTCACATTCTAAATTGGTAGGGGATGCAATCAAAGGATGCAGTGGGTGAGTACAAACATTTTTTTCCTATCTTAGCTATATACTGGAGGAATATAGGAAGCAGCTGTACAGTCATATGTTTGCTGTCAAAGACAATATTGTTTAAACAGATTGGCAGTTATTCTCCAATATTTCTGAGATGAATCTGATTCTGGGATATTTCATGCATCTCATGAAGTGAGCATTAGTTCACAAAAGTTTATGGCTTTTAATATAATTCTTTAGGTGCTACTAGATTCTCCTGATTTCGGCATACAGTTCATCACGACTGTCTCTAATACATGGATAGAATACATCACTTAAATCTAACACTGTATTTTTTGATTTTCCAGATCTATCATTCAGAGATACTCCACAGCCAGCATTCTTGGCAACTCTGCCTTCTACCACAATTCCCATTGGAGTATCCCTTATGAAAAAAGAAGCATTACAGCAACAACACTCCTTATCCAGAAGTGTTCCAAGTACCACTTCTGAAAGGTAGACCACAGTCTCCAATGTCACAGTTAAAAAAAAAACTTTCCAAGTGAATCACTATATTTATATGATTTTGTTTTATCCATAGAAAGAGTATGTCCTCACTGGAGCCAGATACTAATACCAGCAGTTGGAGATCTAGGTCACACTCTGAAGAGTTGCTGCAAACATTAGGGTCTACTTCATCTGTTGACTCTTTTATAATTGAAGGTAAACCAGGAACTCACAGTGATATCATTCACACAAAATTTATTCTATATTAAAATTATTCCATATTAAAAAATTAAAAGGGATTAATTAGTGATCATGTTATGATGAGAAACATGGCTCAAAATTTAGAAATCAGCATTGTACAGCTGATCAAAACTCTTTTTTCAGATATCTAAAAATGTTGGAAATTTTTAAGAGGTGCCATCACTGTATTTCTTTAAGGTGTCTTTTTAAAGATGAATGTACATTTGCCAGTACTACAGGATTACTGTGTTTCTTGAGCAGGAAGCCAATGAATGAAGTGTTAGTTCCTTCATAAATGCTCAGCAAAATTCTCCAAGCAATACCAAAGAGATTTTAAGATAAAGAGTAGTCAAACTGGATATGGTTTATCATATTCTTCTCTTAATTTTAACAGGATTAACCTTTTGCAAAGTCAGTGACACTTAAGTTTTTCCTTAACAGAATATAACATTCATCTTGAGATCTCCATTTTTAAAGTAAAGTGCATCCCATTAAATGCTACCATTATTAAAAATGGATTATATATTAAAACACACAGATGCAAACATTATAGGAAATTGATAACCATATCTCCAGATTCATAGATGCATTAGTACACCTTTGGAGTATTAAAAATCAGCACACAAACCAATCCTGGAATACTTTTTAGTCGTTCAATTGGTATCTGAATTTAACTTTCCTATCTTTTGTTTAAGAATGGCTTTTATTTTGCTATAGATGATGTTGATGCCTCTTTATGGAGTGACCTCAGCACTGATACATTGGAATTTGAGGCAGAATCTTGGAGTCTGGTTGTAGAGCCTTGGTTTTGTAACCAACAAGAAAAGGATGTTATCAAGCGACAAGATGTAATCTTTGGTTAGTGTGCTATAGTATCCTCTATGTTTTGTCATAAAAAATATCAATAGGAAACAGACAGCAACACAAACAAAAATTCTTTAATACTTTATGATCAGAGATTTATTGTTCCTAATAATTTGGAACATAAGAAATGAATAGATATAAAAAGATATAATAGCAGTAATACACTTACATTAATAAGCCATTGCAATGGGGTCCAATGACATATAGCAAGTCCTGCAAGGACTGCCATAAATCAAAGGCCCCAAGCTGATCTCCAATCCTATCCTTTATACTGTACTTTTCTTCTAACCACATACACGCTTCACAACTTCACGAACTGTCATTTTCCTTAAACACCTGTATACATTGCTTTCAGTTCCTCATTTCTAATAGTTGCATTCTTCCTGTTTTAAACTTATCCATCCAAGTGCATACTTTGCAAAAATACGTTTTCACAGTTAGCAATGGCTCAGCAGGATTACAAATAGTTCTGCTATATTTTGAAACCATCCTAGCTGAAAACTTTGGTTCATGTCTCTTCTGGTGCCTGCTATCATCCATAGGACTTATTGAATCTAATAGATAAATTAGCTATATCTTTGATTCTCACAGTTTCTATATAGATGGTTGGAAGTGAAAATATAAAACAGCTTTCTCTAATTTGGCACTCAACAAATGTGTTGTATTCTACCAGCAGGATTTGATAATAGGAATTGTAATCTAAAATATATGCTGCAATCAGTAGTGAAATAAAATTTTAAAAATGCACACTAGTTTCAGAACTTATATTTTATTTTTGTTTTTGTAACTTTTGTCTCTTTCTGAGAAAGAGAGAGCACCTATTCTCTGTGCAGTAATCTGATAAACTATTATTTAATATTCTTAATGGATATTTGTTTAAAAAGATGTTTTAATCCACCTTTACCATTTTTATAAATAACTATAAGCAGTGAACACATCTAATCCTTGCTCTTATTTTCTCCACAATAACATCTGTGAGGTGGCTGGGCTGAGAGAGAGTGACTGAACCAAAGTTATTTAGCTGGCTTTCATGACTAAGGCAGCAGGACTAGAACTCACAGTCTTTTCTAGCCTGGTGCTTTAATCACTACATCAAAGGCAATCAAATTAATCAAACATCAAAGTGCCTTAACCACTAGACCAAACTCTCTCTCAAAACACGAGTGTTTGGACAGAATGATAGGACGTGCTCAATAATGATACAGTGCAGAGCACTTTTATTTAGGATTACAGGCAGACAGCTATGACTCCGCCACCCCTCCAGTGCTGCATGCTGTTCTTCCTTTCCGTGTTTTGTTCCAAGGAGTTTGTCACAGTTGTGAGTGTATTCGTAGATTCTGTAGGCTTTAATCCCCATCTCCTCTTTTCAATTTATTTCTTGCTAAAGATGCATTTATACTTCTTCAGACCTTAGGTGTTCCCTAATGTCCTGATAGCACCCCTTATGTTGGAATAGTTCTTCAATATATAAAAATAAATATAGAGAGAATCTACTCTAAAATATATCTACCATGACTTATTGAATTTTATGGTTTTTTTTATGTAGAACTGATGCAAACAGAAGTGCACCACATCCATACCCTCTTCATCATGTCCAAAATATTCAGAAAAGGGATGAAAGAAGAACTACAGCTGGACCACAGCACAGTGGACAAAATATTCCCTTGTTTAGATGAGCTGCTAGAACTTCACCAGCAGTTCTTCTGTAGGATGAAGGAAAGGCGACAGCTCTCAAGTCGGGAGGGAAGTGACAGAAATTTTGTGATCAGCAAAATTGGAGATGTCCTTGTGCAGCAGGTAGAGCACTGAACAGAATTATACTTTCAGCAGGGTGTTTGTGAAGATATAGTCATTCTAAGAGAAACCACTTACTTAGTAATTGTTCAGAATTAAAAATGTGACTGAATAAGGGGGATTTATGACCAGTTGTCACTGTTCTGACCATTGCAGTGGATCAGTAGTCATGTGATCATGAGGCAGGCACTTGATGTCCAGTGTGGTCACATGATCAACATTTCCAACATTTCCTGCTGACATTCCACAAGCAAAGTCAAAGAAAAGTGGGCAGGAAGTCAGAAATTGCTCACATACTAATCTCTGTAGTGTTGTTCACAGCATCCTCTCCCCCCAAAGTATTCATGCATGTGCCTATGCTTCAGAATGCCTGCTTGTGACACCCCCTGCAACACCCATGTGCCCACATGCATTCCAGAGCCCCAGCCTGAAGCAGTCCCCCCCCTCCAAGTGCCTTCCTGTTTCGCTTATCCACACCTGTTGACTGGGACTCTCATCTTTTCACACTTAATGACATGCATGCTCCAGAACAAAGGTCAACAACTGGAACTGCCAGGATTGCCCTTTGCTAAGGGATGCTGTGACGACCCAGAGTATATCAGAAATATAACAAAAAAGAAAACGTAACTAAAAGTCCTTTAATGCCTTCAACTTGGCTTCACTGTTTAATTGTTCACAGTGGAGGAGTAAACTCTTTTCAAAATAACATTTCAAAGGAAAGAAACACAGTTCAAATTCAAAGAACCGATAACAAAGCAAAAACCAAAAATAAACCGCACTGAATAAAGTTCCACGACAGACCAGGATAGATAATTGCCAACTTAAGGAAGATAACCAGGTACAGTCCGTTGGAAGAACGCCAACCAAGATAAACCTTTAGGAATAAAACTCTAATTTGTTTCCAGCATCTGTTAGCATGCAGGTCCAAACTCTTATGCAAATCTCACACCTGCAACCCATGAAGAGGATCATGGCCCTCTCCTCCCAAGTAGACCACATTTTACCCTGATCCTCTCCTCCCTGCGTGCCCTAGGACAGATAGGGGATGGGCCTGGGTCCTCCTCTGACTGCTCAGCCGGCTTCTGCCCTTCCCCAGCCGCCTCCACTACCTCTAGAGCCACACTTCCACTCCCTGTTGGCTGTTCCTCCTCTTCCTCAGAGTCAGTCTCCACCAGGGGCATGACAGATGCAATCACTTGATATTACACTTTATGATTAAATTGTTTAGCGATGGAAATTGCGGCCACTATTGCCTTGATAAGCCAATGATTATCTATATATCCATTTTTATGATCCTGGTCCAATCACAACCACATCTCCCCTAAATATGATAATCCTGAAAGAGGAAGGCCTTAACCTTCCTTTGCCAACATTTTCATGATGTTTGAGATCACATAGCAAATGCTTCCCTTTATTTTGTGTGAATCTCCCAGTCTATAATGCTTTTCTGATGCACCAAATAGATTGGAAGGGAAAAAAGATCTATTTGGGGAGTGGGAGAACCAGTTTGCTTACATATTCAGTATGCAGCATAGCGATAATTCTACCAATACTCTATTGAATTGCTACTATTTTTTCAGTTTTCAGAAGAGAATGCAAGAAAAATGAAGACAATCTACGGGGAGTTTTGTAGTCACCAAAAAGAAGCAGTTAGCCTTTTTAAAGAATTGCAGCAAAACAAAAAATTCCAGAATTTCATCAAAGTAAGTTGATAATATCTATCTCAGTTGTACAAAAGTTTATCTACTTTAGGAGAACTGTTAATGTGAGAAATGGTACAGCACATTAGCTTAGCATTCTAATAGTTCAAAAGTAGTTTTTCCTAAGTATACCACAAGGTGGCTCTATTTTAGTGCAGTATGGCTGATAATACTGACTTTCAGAATTGTAAGAATTGCAGCCAATGGAATTCCTGTGCTACATAAAAGGCTTCCATTTATACAAAACAGTTTTCTTACTTTTTAATTTTGTTAAGATTTTCGAGGTGGAGTGTGAGTCTCTAAGGAAAGGGAAAATCGATTCCTGTAACAGTATTTTTTTCTGTTGCGGATAGAACTCATTAAATTTCGTCCAATTTAAAAAAGCCATTGAATGTTAAGGCAGAGGAATTGGACACTGGGCGTTGTACAAATGGAACAAAATGAACAAATAAATAAATACATGGCTCTTTTATAGAAGTTGTCTTATATTTTTAATAAAGTAATAATAGACACTATTATTTTCATTCCAAAATGGCTTATCATTAAAGCCATATGAAATTAAAAAAATAAACTATCTTCAGTGTTTCTGATTATTTGAATAGTTAAAAAAAACAAAACAATTGCACGCATATTGGCTTATTTGCTGTTGTCTTATTTGTACCTAGTTACAAATAAGATAGTAACCTTTCCCATTCTAATCGGAGAGGTCCACATTGGAGATAAAAGCTTTTTATTTATATAATATAACAATATACTTTGTTAGTATTTTATTTTTTTTATTGTTTCCTCTGAATGTTCAGACCACCTACCAGCTTTTGTGATTCATTGGAGTGAGGGACAAGCAACATCTAGGCCAGGGGTGTCCAACCTTGGCAACTTTAAGACTTGTGGACTTCAACTCTCAGAATTCCTCAGCCAGCAAAGCCAGCAAGGTTGGACACCCCTGATCTAGGCAAAAAGGTCAAAGTGGCAATCACAGCAGCACAGTTGAAGCCCAACCCTTTGTGTGGGTGTGCAGGATTGATAAATATATAAAAGAGATGGGTTTTTTGAAACTCTTGCTATTAGAGTCATCTTTACTTTTTTTTCTTTTTTAGCTATCCCAGGCCATTTTCTTTGGCACTGTAGATAACTTATTCAAAATTATTATAAAATTCCTTAGTCATTTTTCTGCATCAGCCATATAACATTGGCAAAATGAAGTGAATAATAAAAGCTCAATATCAGATGGATTGAAACAAGAAATAAAATATATAGAAGATTGTCTTCCATCACCCAAGCAGAGAGACTTTAAAATCTAAGTGACATTTTATATCTAGCAACCTTGAAGGCTGTATATTAAAAGTTAAATCTCTTCTTAAAGCTGCGGAATAGTAATCTTTTGGCCCGGCGTCGGGGAATCCCAGAATGCATTTTGCTAGTCACTCAAAGAATCACAAAGTACCCAGTTCTAGTAGAAAGAATATTACAGTATACCAAAGGTAAGCAATAATTTTCTACCTGCTTCATGACTAAATCTTATGGTGTGCTTAGCTAACTAACATCAACGCATCAACATTACTTTAAAAATTTCTTATACAAATATTTTTTTTTACAAATTTCAGATTTTTCTTATTTTGCAAATAACTTATTTTGCTATAAATGAAAATGAGTTGTGTTTCATATATTCGTTATTTCTTTGTAAATTTATTTGCCACCTACGTTGCTGTGGGGTTTCTCTAGGTGGCTTACAACAGTAAAAAGGAAGAACTGAAAAGAGTGTAAACAGAACTAAAATAATAAAATAAACAATGAAATGGAACACAACAAGAATACATCAATATGGTAACAAAAAGATTAATATGATAACAAAAAGGTGGACAGGTGGAGAGCAGAGAACAAGGGAGGGGAGGTGGAGTCTGCCATCAGTAAAATGTGCTCTATTTTATTGTTTTTTATTGGAGAATTACAACGAAGTGAACAGATTAAGCTCCTAACCTTGAAAAAAAATTACCTGGAATATGGTAAAGTTTCTAGGATCTGAAGTAGAAGTCCACATAGCCTGGGCATTCGGGTTGGGAAGGTTGTTGTAGCTAATCAGTGGCCCAATGAGGGGGTCTTTGTAACTCCCAAGTCCAGTAAACAAAGGTGTAAGTAGAGGAGGAGATGGTAGGAAGAAAAAGAAGTGGAAGCAAGTCTAATTGTGGTGTCAGGTTCTATACTCCCATGGTCATGGTCCTACCAGAACAATGCAGATGTGGTAATAATTGTTCTACCAAAACAATGCATCCATGTGGTAATACTAAGAGATTAATGTGGCAACACCATGGATGATTCTTCTAAACCACAGGTGTCAAACTCTCTGCATCACATTGCTGTCACTTGATGTTTTGTTTTGTGACAGTTTTCCCATTCGTGGAGCTGGGATGGGCGTGGCCTGTGCCTGACACATCCAGCCCACAGGCCGCCAGTTTGACACTCTGTTCTAAACATTAAATGAATTTTCAGATTTCTGCTTTTAAAGTAGCAAACTTTGTATTTTGATTTTAGGATTCCATGAGTCATGAACCATTCACAAAACAGATTTGAAAATAATGCTCTGGTTCTTTCTTATGAAAATCCATTCTAAATACTTAAAGAGAAGGGTTTGCTAACATTATGTGCCTTTTTATTTTTATACAGAAGGAACAGAAGAACATCAAGATTTGTGTAGAGCTCTTAACCTTATCAAGGATATGATTGCAGCAGTTGATTTGCAAGTCAGTGAATACGAAAAGAAACAGAAGTTGCTGGAGATTCTTAGTAAAGTTGAGAACAAAACATATACCAAACTGAAAAATGGACATGTTTTTAGGAAACAAGATTTGATCAAGAAACAGAGAACGCTTTTGTATGAAGGGTTAGTCTACTGGAAGACAGCTACAGGACGTTTCAAAGGTTATTAAAATTCAACTTCCTTGTATACTTTCAGTGTGCATCATCTGTACTTTTCTAAAGAAAGTTTTTGTTACAAATGTATAAGTTGCTAAAAATATGAAAAATGTCTTAGAGTATAGATAGGATTGCAATAAGTTGATTAAGTTTGTGGCCTTGATATTTTCTCTCATTAATTTTCTCCAGAGTTAAGTTTGTCTGAATCCTTTATTTTCTGTCATAAAAATAAGAAATCAGTTTACCTGATTGTAACACACCCAACACTAGCAATCTGTTTTCCAATATAGTATGAAATCACATTAGAACATTAAACCTGTTCAAATGTCACCTGTTAGGTGTAAAATTATATCTTCAAGTTAAATTTATTTCGTTAGCCTGACAAGTACACTGTAGTAACAACAAAAAAAGAAACACAAAATTAAGAAAATAGTAAAATCAAGTACATAAGTTAACTCTGAAATAGCAAGCTTATGCTCAAATTATGTCATAAAAATCATTCTGAATTAACATAGATGAACATTGAACATTGCTAACATAGATGGGCACTTAAAAGAATGACAGCCAGCTTCCCAGATGAGTCTGTTACAGAGGGAAGTGTCCCTTTCTGAAAATTTCTCCCATTGACACTTGGTGCACCTTAAATATTGAAGGACATCTGGAAAAGGGTCCAAGTAAAAATTTTAACAGACAGACTGAAGCAAGTGAAATGAAGACTGAAGATGAACTGGTTATATTCCCTGATTCTGGTACAAATAATCCTCATTTAGCAACCATAATTGGGACTGCTAAGTCAGTCATTAAGGGAAGCGGTAGCTAAGCAAAGCCACAACAGATTATGATTTTACTTCAGCTTTTCTTTGCTTTACCAGCCTGTGTAGCTTGTCATTACAAGAATTGCTAGTCATTAATCAACTGTAAAGTAAAGTTTTTCATTATTGTATCTGCAAATTATCACTAAATGGCAGTCACTAAATGAGGGTTACCTGTATTAAAATATAAAACATAAACCAAAAATTCTTAAAGTGAAGAAATATATTAATAACTATATTAGTTGGTATTGTTTCAAAATACTGCTGGTGATAAATCTATGGATGTCATTTCATTGAATACAAATCACTGAGCTCTAGTCTGGGATCCTCAGAGGAAAGTGTGCCCACCTCCTCAATTTATAACGTGTTTTCATAGGATGTCCCATTCTAATCAGTGCACCTAGTGAATCTCTGAATGTTGTAGTGTGATGTGAATGTTTTTAAAGAATTGAATTTATTTTCATTTGATTTGTCTGATATGAATGATTGGTCTATAATGCAATTTTCTTTTTTTAAAGACATTTTAGCTCTGCTTCTAAATGATGTGATGTTGTTTTTACAAGAAAAAGATCAGAAGTATATATTTGCAGCTGTTGTAAGTATAAATGTTTAAAAACACTTTAAATTATCTTAATTGGGAAATTGTATCTCTTATAAAAATAATAAATATTGGGACCTTATTCAAGCAAAATTAAGCATTTTAGATGGCAATCTTGAATCTGTGTAAATTTGGATGAATTTGTGTTCCAGTCATTGAAAGAAAATAGATATTGAGTAGCAGATTTTCTCAAATCTCTAAAATGATGAATTAATTTGAAGATTCCCTTAATGATTCATACTAATGATTTCATAGCAGATTAAGCAAAATATAATTACACTCTTTATTAATGATTGGGGGGGGGTAGCATTCCTGAAATTGGTTGTATGGGTGCAGATTGCCAAGCACCTGAATTTTGTTGACATGACCGCACAGTGCTGCATAACCATAACTTTGAAACCAAGTCATAAAAAACTTTTGGGGGAATCTTTCAGGACTTTGAACAGTAGATAGGCGACTAGTCATAAGTTGAGGTTAATCTGTAACTTTCCTCAAATTGCAGCTTATATATTGTAGTGTGTAGGAGGTGACAAACCCATACATGTTAAATATTATTCCAGATAATATAATGGATAGATATTCAATGCAGGGCAGACTGAGAAATATTTAGACACAATGCACCTTAGAAAGTGTATAGAAGAACAAAAGAAAGCTCCAATAAACCAATTATTGAAGAGGAAACAAAAGGAGCAATACAGATAAAATTCAGTAACCAGGACCAGGTGGGCTTTTAATGTATTATAACAGGGATCCCCAACCTTTTCGACACCGCGGCCCGGTTCCGGCATCAGCTGGGCGCCGCGGCCCGGTACCGGCGTCAACTGGGCGCCGCCATCTTTTTATGACGAAAAGGCGCTTCCGGTGAGCTTTCTACCGGGAAAAGCTCACCAGAAGCGCTTTTTTACCAAAAAAAGATGGCGGCGCCCAGCAACCAGCGGCCCGGTAAGGCTTGTTCCGCGGCCCGGTACCGGTCCGCGGACCGGCGGTTGGGGACCCCTGTATTATAAGACATTTCATGAATTCTGATTAAGCCATTAACTTAGGTAATGAATGAGATTCAACAGTGTGATGCATTTTTGTCTTCCTTTAATTTCTGTGTTATTCAGTGAGGAATATTACAGGCTGTTGTCATACAGACCTGTTTTGTTACTTAATGCACACAGCAAGCTTTTCAACAGCAATATTTGCAAAAAAGATTACCGTATATGCCGGCGTATAAGACGACCCGGCGTATAAGA